GCTGAAGAATATCTTCAGAAAGCACTTACCATCACGACAGAAATTGGCGACAAACGCGGACAAGCGTCATGCTACATGAACCTAGGAAACGTGTTTCAGTCTGTCGGAGAACATGCCCAGGCTGAGGAATATTTTCAGAAAGCACTTACCATCACGACAGAAATTGGCGACAAAGACGGACAAGCGTCATGCTACATAAACCTAGGAAACGTGTTTCATTCTGTCGGAGAATATGCCAAGGTTGAAGAATATCTTCAGAAAGCACTTACCATCACGACAGAAATTGGCGACAAACACGGAGAAGCGTCATGCTACATAAGGCTAGGAAACGTGTTTCAGTCTGTCGGAGAATATGCCAATGCTGAAGAATATCTTCAGAAAGCACTTACCATCACGACAAAAATTGGCGACAAACACGGACAAGCGTCATGCTACATAAGCCTAGGAAACGTGTTTTATTCTGTCGGAGAATATGCCAATGCTGAAGAATATCTTCAGAAAGCACTTACCATCACGACAAAAATTGGCGACAAAGACGGACAAGCGTCATGCTACATAAACCTAGGAAACGTGTTTCATTTTGTCGGAGAACATGCCCAGGCTGAGGAATATCTTCAGAAAGCACTTACCATCAGGACAGAAATTGGCGACAAACACGGACAAGCGTCATGCTACATAAACCTAGGAAACGTGTTTCCGTCTGTCGGAGAATATGCCAAGGTTGAAGAATATCTTCAGAAAGCACTTACCATCATGACAGAAATTGGCGACAAAAAGGGACAAGCGTCATGCTACGGAACCCTAGGAAACGTGTTTCATTCTGTCGGAGAATATGCCAATGCTGAAGAATATCTTCAGAAAGGACTTACCATCATGACAGAAATTGGCGACAAATGGGGAGAAGCGTCATGCTACGGAGCCCTAGGACAAGTGTTTCAGTCTGTTGGAGAAGATACCAAGGCTGAAGAATATTTTAAAAAATCTCTTCAAATTAGCAAGAACACTGGAAACATCGAAGTGCAGTTTTTAAGTCACCTAAACCTACATTATTGTTTTTTAGCATTAACAGGAAACGCATATGAAGCTTTATCGAATCTCCATGCCAGCATTGAGAAGTGCGAGAGAATTCTTAACTTTCTACCAAACAAAGATCGATACAAGATATTATTTTTTGATGAGCACGCGTCTCCCTATCGACTGTTTAGTTCACTGTGTTGTGCTTCTGGGAAACACTATGAGGCTTTACACGTTGTTGAGCTTGGAAGAGCCAAAGCTCTAGTAGACCTAGTATCAGATCGGTATTTTGTGGAGAAAGAAGTATCCCTCAACCCAGAATCGTTTGCTGGCATCTTGAAGGTCATCAGAGACAGTGGTAACAGAACGTGCCTATACATTTCCTACCATGGTGAAGACATATTTCTTTGGATTGTGAAAAAGTCGATAGCTTTCCAAAAAACGAAACTTTGTAAAAGCTATGTTAGCAAGCACGGAGGAATCTCTGTGGATGACCTTTTTAAAAGGGAAAGCTTATTACGAAATTTTCACCTTTTACCTCAAGAGCAATGCGAAGACCGATCACTCTTCTCCTCGTACGCCAACCAACTTACAAACGAAGCAAATCTGGAAGATAGTCTCTCATCCTTGCGTCCTCTTTTAGATGAGGAAGAAGTAATCACAGACCCTGAACCGCCAACACTGTTTCAGGTTTACAACATGTTGATTGCTCCCGTAAGTGACTTGCTAGAAGGATCTGAAGAAATCATTGTTGTTCCCGATCGCTGCTTCTTCCAAGTTCCGTTTGCAGCATTACATGATAAATGTAACCGCTATTTATCAGACACTTTCAAGATACGCATTGTCCCTTCTTTGACGACTCTCAAGCTCATTCTGGACAGTCCAGCGGGCTCTCACAGCGAAACTGGTGCATTGATTGTGGGTGAGCCAAGTGTGACGGATGTGTATTTCAAGGGAGAGTTAAGGAAACTCTGTAAATTGCCTGGCGCGAAAGCGGAAGCAGAGACGATAGCAAGACTACTACCTGAATCTCACCTTTTAATAGGAGAGCAAGCAACAAAGCAGGCGGTTCTTCAGGGGATACCCTCAGTAAGTCTCGTACATTTCGCTGCTCATGGTGACGCCGAAAGAGGAGAAATTGCTCTTACCCCTTCTGACTCTACTAAGGGGATTCCACATGAACAAGACTACTTACTCTCAATGGCCGACATTTCACAAGTTAGACTAACCGCCAAACTGGTGGTCCTTAGCTGCTGCCATACCGCACGTGGACAGATCAAAACAGAAGGCGTTGTTGGAATCGCTCGAGCATTCTTAGGATCGGGTGCACGCTCAGTGTTGGTGGCACTGTGGGCCTTACAAGACGATGCAACAGAGCAGTTCATGAGAAGATTCTACGAAAACCTTGTCCAAGGAGAAAGTGCAAGTGAATGTCTTCACCGGGCCATGAAGTGGATGCGAAATAACGGTTTCTCTGAAGTGAGGCAGTGGGCACCTTTTATGCTGATTGGGGATGACGTGTCATTTCACTTTGGTAAAGAAAAGTGAAGGTAATTGCTTTCTGATAATTAGGGCCATAGGAAATCTGCCAGGTCTTATTGTATTTTAGTTTTATCAGCTTGGTTACATTTCGTCCTTTTAAGTTCTAAATAAAAAGCAGTATTTACCCTTAAAAGCCACATTATTGACTACACCTGAAGACAGATTTTACTATGACTGAGGTAAAATATCAATCAACCGCTTTTTAACATCGAAGATACGAAACAACACAATTATTCGACCCCACTTCTGTACTTATCGGTCAAAATCACAACCTGTGCATATGTGGGCTTTGCTTTAAAAAAAAAAAATACTCTAAAGCCCCGTATTCCTACAGTAACACAGAATGATTTTAAATCTTTTCTCTTTTTCCTGATATCAGGAAGGCACAAATAATTTAATATTATTTTATTTGTTACCGCTCAATATGAACGTAAGGGTTTGCTGACAAACTGTTTTCTTTCTGAATATAATGGGATGTGAATTCCAGAAATGAAACCAAAACAAACAGCTTAAGGTAGTTTTTGTTTGATATAAAGATAATCGGAATAAAACTCACTTATGGCGGAGACCTAGATCTGAGAATTGATCGAAAGCAATGAAAACTACAAATTGTGGACTGTGTATGGAGTTTTGACCGTAACTAGAGGGATTTTTGCGGACACTGACTGAAGTACGGCAGTACACTGGTTCTAAACTTGGACCAAAGAGGAAAAGACCGAGATTCCAAAGGTCGTCAAGGAAAGAAGTTTCAAACCTGTTTTAGCTGTGCACCCTGATTTTCATTTATGATGGAAATAATTGGAAAGTTTTAGCGCTGAGATAAACTTAAATAAGTAAACCTCTTCCTTCACGATAAAGCCAGAGGATCCCTCTTCCATGTCAGTAAAATGAACCTAAATGCCACTTACCCAGCTGGAGTCTTTTGAAATGAATATATGTGTTTTAATAATTTTTATGTTTCTTATACATTACGGTTACAGGTATTACACTAACGACACACCATGGAATACCCAAACGGCCCTTCCGCAGAATTCAAATGAAGTTAAGTCCCTGGCGTAGAATGTAGAGGGTCAACCATGCAGCATACGAACATAACCCAGACTAGAAGAATTAAAAGAGAACTGATTTGTTTGGCCCAGCTGTTCATCTTTGGCGGTCTTATTATTTTTTCCCGCTGGTTTTAATTTTTTGTGACTCACAAAACACACACACACTACACACTCATACACACAGTCACGTACATAGTTCATCGGTAGCTCGGAAAATGATACAACTGTAGTTGCGACACGAATAACATCAGGATTAATGAGATAATTTCCCTATCTATTAAGGTAATTTGTTAACTTACTGTCTTAATTAGTCTTTAAGGCTACAACTAAAAAATACTTTTCACGTAAACGAGATTCTAAATCGCAAATTGCAGTTTGATTACAATGCAAACACCATTGCAAGGTTTTTAATTTAGTACAGTTGTATATATTTTAGAGCTTTTGGGAACATAGAGGTAGTAGTTTTGCACCTTGTTTTATGAAATAAGGTTTGACTTCAAAGTTAAGAGCCTTATTACATGGAGGTGGGTGACCCCAGATAGGTGAGGTAAAATGTGGTGGGTCACCCCACCTATCATGTAAACCTGATCAAATTAACATGATAGATTATATGGATAGGCGGGTTACCCCACCTAAGCGGGTTACTTCGCCTACCTGAGGGCCCCCACCTCCATGTACACAGGCCTTAAGTCACTAAAAGCCTATCGAAACCAAACTCCAAACTAGCCATCGCAGTTGTAAACTAAAGGTTATTACATTGTATAATGTTCATAGTGCCTGAGCATAGGTTAGTATGTTGGTATAGAAGTCAAGAGTAGCACTTACTTTAAGTATCCGCCTAATATGCCAAGATTTGGTGGTCCAGTTGTCAGTAGTGCTTCGAGTGGGGAAACTAACTTAAATACTTCAAACAGCATGTCGCGTATCCGAGAAGGTCACACATGGAGGTTTCATTGCATTCTGTACATATGTAATCTATATAAAATGCCAAGATTTGGTGGTCCAGTTTTCAGTAGTGCTTTGAGTAGCGAAACTAATTTTAGCAGTTTGAACAGCATGTCGCGTATCCGAGAAGGTCGCACATGGAGGTTTCATTGTAATCTGTATATATGTAATCTAAAGTATATAAAATGCCAGGATTTGGTGGCCCAGTTTTCAGTAATGCTTTGAGTAGGAAAACTAATTTTAGCAGTTTAAACAGTATGTCGCGTATCCGAGAAGGTCGCACATGCAGGTTTCATTGTGCTCTGTAAATGTGTAGTCTATATAAAATGCCAGGATTTGGTGGTCCAGTTTTCAGTAGTGCTTTGAGTAGGAAAACTAATTTTAGCAGTTTGAACAGCATGTGGCGAATCCGAGAAGGTCGCACATGGATGTTTCATTATCATCTGTACATACATGTAATCAGGTTTTTAAAAATAAAGCGTATTTGGGATAGTAAATTCTACGGCGAAACTTTATTGAGCCTTTTGTTGTTAAGACCTCTGGTGTTTATCTTTAATCATCTATTTGCTCTTTAACAAAGAATATGCCCTATCAGAATATCAGAGAGATTTAGAATCACACTCACGTTAAACGGCAACGTTAATTTTTACGTGACCAAGGTATCAGTTTAGTCTCCCTTGCAGCCGTTTTTTTTATCAGTCTAAGAAAATAAATAAACAAAATTGTAATTTGTAATTTGTTTTCCCATGGAGCACTTAGAAGTTGTTAAGAACTCGTCAGTATAAACTTGTCCGTGCGTTCCGGGTCGAATTGGAATTTGGAAGCGTTGGTTTTTGGAGGGAGAGGAAAACCGGAGCACCCAGAGAAAAACCTCTCGGCAAGGCAGAGAACCAACAACAAACATACCCTTTCATACACCTGAAGCATGAAAAAGGTCGAAGCCTCCCCATAAAGGCAATTATAGGGAGTATCTCCTAACCCCCCCCCCTACCCCCGGGAGAAGGAAGCCAAGTGCCCTTATTACTGCTCCACTCTTGCTCAGTTTTCGTCAGAAGCCGATTTACTTGTTGTATTTGTTCTCCTTGTTGTATCTACACAAAAAAGTAAGTAGTTTCATGTCCATCAGTTTACTAATAAACCATAACAATTATTTTCAAAGTTTGTACCTGTTTATTTCCTTATTAAAATAAAATTTCACCTTAGGTCTTACTAATGTATGCCGTTTGCCGTAACCGCGAATTAAAAAATCTGTTGACTTTCCTCCCAACGACTACTACAATCCATAAATTTGGTCTCATAAAAGTTACTGCCACGATCACACCCGTTGATTCGGAATCGTAGTACGTTGACGGCAAAGTCGAAACGTCAGGTTCAAGTATTACAGTTACTCAAGTTGGGAAATCAACAGATAAAAAGTGAGAAAATTATCCTTACGGATAAACGTGGCATGAGTGTCTTTATAAAATCCCGAGCTGATCCTTTTTTCAACTACTGTTCGTGCTTTGACCATATACCAGAAAATAAATTCAATACTTTTTCCAGACCTTTTTCCTAGACAATAATTTCTTTTTCCAGACTCAAGGTTATCAGATAGGTCAGTGGTCAATAGAGACCTTAAAAAACTTAGGAACAAAGCTTTTTTCATGATAGGCTGCAAACAAACGGGCCAAATTGAATACGATTTGACCAAAACAAAAAAAATTTTCACTTATAAGGCACTAATTGTTATAGCTTTGAAAAAAAAAAAAATTCAAGGCTTTTTACTATTTTTCCAGGCTTTGGCTCCACTTTCCAGATTTTTTTCAGTTCTGGAAAATTGCTGAGAAAATTTCAAGACTTTTTTAAGAATTCAAGACTCTGTACGAACCCTGAGTTTTGTGCAAGGTATTTCAATCCATGAAGTTGTACGTGCACACCCCCGTAGTGAAAGCTAGTTCGCGGCCCACCGGGGATGGATTTTTATTTTTGTTTCTATCCAGATCTGGGTAGTACTTCTGACTGGTTAAAGCAAATTTTTAACCAATCAGAAGTACTACTCAGATCTTGGTAGTGACGGGTCATCAGTATGGAATTTCTGCGCTCGTTCTCTGACGTCATTTCCCGAGAGCGGAAACCTGCAGTGGTAACGTCGCGAAATGTCAGTTGTTTTCTCAGGCTAAGCTGGTCACCTACCAGTGGAAATGCCACACGTGAAGCGCTTATCAACGATGCTAAAGTAAGGTGATTATTGATTACAGTGTGAACACACCTTTTACCCAGGTGGGAACGAGTGCAAGCCCCATTTTAAGCTTCATTAGGGTTAGCTTTTTCCAGGGTATTTACCCTGAAAACTAGTTTAACACTGGCGTACAAGAGCTGTAGCACGAAATTTATCATAATTCAATCAATCAATCACTCAAATAACGTTAAATCAGGTGTAACTCGTTAGTGACAAGTATGCAATTTAATTGGGTTAGCTTTGGGCCGTAGTTAAATTTTACTTCTTTTAATTTTTAGTGTCAATTTTAGTATGCAGTTTAATTAGGTTGGTTTTGGGCGGCATTTAAATTTTACAATCTTAATTTTTTTCCCAGGAGTCCTGGTGATTAAAGTAGGGAAAGTATGGCTTCGTTTCACTCAAGTTGTCTCAGTCAGTTCCTCAGTTAAAGGCCGAATAACAAGCGTAGTTTATGCGGCTATTTAGTTTATGGACGTTTGTAAGGTTTGAGACAATGATCTGACCGAGTATCATGGTCTGATATAAGCTTACAGAACTTTAAAAATCCTTTAGACATTTTCTCACCACAAATAGAAAGAAACCGTTTCAAAGAATATTTTGTTATAATCTGGCTGTAAAAGAAAAGCTTTGAGCGTTTTTCTGGCCTCGGGTTCATCTTTGAAAATAGCAAACACAACGAAGCCGGCTTAAAACATAAACTTAAGCTTAAGCTGTAGGCTTGAAGACTCAGGATTTTTAGAGACACTTCAATATTAAATACTTGTCTTCATGAATGAAAATTGTTATTATATATG